TTCGATTCCGGTCAAGGGCATGTACCTTGGTTGCAAGCCACAATCCCCAGTGGGGAGTGTGCAGGAGGCAGCTGATTGATGTTTCTCTCTCATCGATGTTTCTGACTCTCTATCCCTCTCCCTTCCTCTCTGTAAAAAAGCAATAAAATATATATAAAAACAAACAAACAAACAAACTGTACGCATTCTCATTTGTGTAAGGGATGGTATTAAGATATGAGTTATTTTGCCCTTTAGTCTTCCTACCTACCTTGGGGCAATTTCATAATTCCATCGGAAGCCTATAATGGCTGAGCAGGACTGTAAAAGGATAACTTCCATGCAGAAAATACCTTAGCTTGCTTCTGGGAGTTCCTAAATTTACCATTTCTAAACATGCAGGGAAAATATAATGATTTACAGGTGTGATTATTGATTTTCATTCATCCCAGTGTGTATGTGCCTAGAAATCCTTTTAACTTATCCAATTCTATAAAGATCAAAATCCTGTTTTCTCCTGTTTATCTCTTTGTTCTATTCACTTTTTTTTTTTTTACTGCCTAACATACTTTAACCTTCTGCACTATATATTCCACTTTTTTTTTCTTTTTAATGTATTTTATTGATTTCAGAGAAGAAGGGAGAGGGAGAGAGAGAGAGAGAGAGAGAGAGAGAGAGAGAGAGAGAGAGAAACATCAATGATGAAAGAGAATCACTGATAGGCTGCCTCCTGCATGCCCCCTACTGGGGATAGAGCCCGAAACCCAGACATGTGCCCTGACCAGGAACGATACACTAGTACTGTGACCTCCTGGTTCATAGGTCAACCCTCAACCACTAAACCACACTAGCCAGGCTATATATTCCACTCTTAATGTAAATTTCTAAACCTCAGCCCCCAATCTTATTCTCTGCTTTCTATCAAGTGCTCTTAGTAAGGCTTCTTTATTGTATTATCTTTTCAGAAACACTCTTTTTGTAGAAATAATCTTCACTCTAAACTGTTGTACTTCTTGACTTTATCTCTTTACAAGGAGTAGCTCATCCATTTTAGTTGTTTTCCCAATAGATGTAAAGCCCATTCCAATTCCTTATTCCCTCCCTTGACTAAATGGTAGAAATCACCATGGAGAATACCTTTATTCTGTATTGCCATTTCTAACTAGTGGGCTATTTCATTTTTTAATAATTATTGGGCTAGTTCATCACTTCAAAATTTTGCTACTCATCTATAACAACTTTTTTAAACCATAAGCTGCTATTATCTACTAACACTTATTATTCAGCCAACTGATACCAATATCTGACACTGTTTTTTCCTAGTCCATCATTCCTATAGACTTCAATATCCATAATGAAGCCTCTGCAGATACCTAAATCTCAAGATTAATCAAATCCCAAATTCTGTGGATCGTTACTGTCTCATCATTTGTAAATATGGTCAATTCTAGAAATTCATTAACAGCACATTGCTGTTTTTAAATCAGTACTCATCATCAGACAAGATTCTGATCCTGATCTTGACTCACTACTACTCTGATTAACTGCTCTTAAGCATCTGTACGCTATAAGCGTCTATAGACACAAGTGGCAGACCTTTTTAAATTAAATTCAAAATATCGTGGCAGTTAACTGGTTAAACACTGAAAGGCTTGCACTTCACTCATATCATCATTAGTATCTTCTTTGGATTACTGAAGATTCACTTTCATGTCCCTAACTACCCGAAAGCTTGCACCACCAAACAGGGATTTTCAACCTTGTTTTTCGAGCCCAATACTCAATATATAAAACTGATGAAGACAAGAGCCTCTCTGGCTAAAGACTGGCCTTTCCCCTTTCTTTTTAACCAAGTAATCCTTTGTCCATTCTTGAGGCACCTTTAAGGGATATCAGACATGCCACTGTTCTAATATAAATCCCCTATCTCAATCAGATCAGTTTCCCTTACCAACACAAACTGATTATGCTAAATTCCATCTCTGGATATTACACATTCCTGCTTTCTGTATCCCTGCAATAACCCAAATTAATTACATTAATAATACCAGCTATTATTTGTTTTTTGCTGTTAAGCACAGTGCTAACATATATAATTCTTATTTTAATTGTCACAATTGTATGTGCTGGATATAACATCTATTTTACAGTCAAGGAAACAGATATGAAGAAATGTTTCCTCAATGAATAGAGTATTTCCTTTAATGTGATACATGTCTTATTTTACAATCAAGCAGTATGTTTAGGTTAAAGATAATGTCTTCAACTTCTGTAATCCCAGAGTACCTAAGACCTAAAGGGTTAATTAAATCTTACTGAAGAATGTGTGGGAGTGGTGGAGGTCAAGGTTAAGATGGCCTTACTAGCAATTCTGATAAAACATTTTATATGAAAAAAACTGATGATCACCTAAAATAAAGAGAATTTGCTATTACCATTTCAATGACACATTTACTGAAGAACAGGAATTCTTAAAATTCACAGACTTGATAATTTAATGAAAGTGCACCTATAGAGATCCTAAGACATAGGTCAGCATCTCTGATCTACAATCAAAATAGAAAACTAAGGTCCATGTCCTTATTTTGCCTTTATACAACATGTATTCTTAAAACTGTCAATATTTCTAAAAAGAGCAATTATAGAAAAAACAATTGTTATAGGCAGAATTGTGTACCCCTAAAATCCATATGTCAAAGTCCTAACTCCCCCATAGCTCAGAATGTGAATGTATTTGGAGACAGTGACTTTATGGACGTAATCAAGTTAAAATGAGATCATTAGGGTAGGCCCTGATCCAATATGACTGAAGTCCTTATTAGAGGAAGAAATTTGGACACAGAAGAAAGATGACATAAAGACCCAGGGAGAAGACGAACATCTATAAGCCAAGGATAGAGGACTCAAACAGTTCCTTCCCTCATGGCCCTCAGAGGGAACTAACCTTGCCAACAACTTGATCTCAGACTTTCAGCCTCCAGAACTGTAAGAAAATTAATTTCTGTTGTTTAAGCCACCCAGGCTGTGGTACTAATGCAGTAGTCTACCACTGTTATCATTTATTCAAAATGAATAATGTTTAAAATCATTTTTCCACTTTTCTACACAACCTGGTTATAACTGCAGCCCAACTTCTACTCCTCTTGCTATCACTTTTGTCTTTCAAATGGTATATACTTTTGATGTGGATCATCTATAATAATAAAAGCGTAATATGCTAATTAGACCGAACAGCTTAATGACCTTCCAGATGTCCTTCCGGATAACCTCCCGGACGAAGCTGGGGCTGCGGGGGCTGAGGCAAGCCACCAGAGCTGTGAGGGCCGAGCCCCTTGCACGAATTTCATGCATTGGGCCTCTAGTTTAAAAATAAACAAGGAACCCTAGCTGGTTTGGCTCAGTAGATAGAGCGCTGGCCCGTAGATTGAAGAGTCCCAGATTTGACTCCCAGTCAAGGGCACATACTTCAGTTGCAGGCTCAATCCCCGGCCGGCCCTGTGTGGGAGGCAACCATTTGATGGGCCCCTGGCTGATACCATAATCAGCAGATGTCCAAGTATCTCTCATATCAATGTTTCTCTGTCTCCCCCTCTCCCTTCCACTCTCTTAAAAAGAACAACACAAAAAACAAAAACAAAAAAACAACAACAAGGAATCCAATTCAGATATATATTGATTTAGTTTAAAGGGATATTTCAAGCAAATGAAAGCTGATGGGTAATGTTTAATTTGGTAAAAAGGCTATATACAGTCAGCTTTCTGTATCTGTGTATTCAACTAACCGTGAACTGAAAATAATTGAAAAAAGTTACATCGTTGCTGACATGTACTTTGTTGCTAGGCCTACAATGATTTTGTCTGTACTGAACGTGAACATACTTTTTTACCCCTTGTCATTATTCCCTAAACAATACATTGTAACAACTATTTATATAGCATTTACATTGGATTAGGTATTATAAGTCATCTAGAGATGATTTAAAGTATATAGGAGGATGTGTGTAGGTTATATGCAAATATTACTCCATTTTATATGAGGAACTTGGACATCTGCTGATTATGTTATCAGCTGGGGGTCGGGGGATCCTAGAACCAATTCCCTGTTCATACTGAGGGACTATTACATATATATATGTGTATGTGTGTGCGTGTATATATATATTTTAATGAAGGAGAAATAGCTCAACTACCTTTACTTTTAGAGAAATAAATATCCAATGTTAAAGAACCAAAAACTTAAAGTGTATCAAATATAAAAAAACGTCAAAGCTACTTATTTTGTCTAAATTTTAAGAGATATGGCCTTCTGCTTCTGGCCAAGACAGAATAAAGGAACTGAATTTACCCTCTAGCATGAAATTAAAACCTGGACAAAATATATGAAACAATGGTTTTCAAGAACAATGTACATTTGGCAAAAAAAGATTTGATAAAACATTTTATATGAAAAAAACTGATGATCACCTATAAGTGGCAAGATCTGAACTCTAGGAGTATCCCACTTACTGCCTTGGGAGAGATTCCAAGCTGTAGAGTAAGTAGGAACCCAGGAGAAACTCAGTAGACTCTCTGAGGTGAGGAAATGGAGCTGAGTCCAGAGAGACAAAGGCAACTAGAGTTCACATGAGAGAATACTAGAAAGGAGACAGCTGTATAGAGAGAGAACCCAGAAGATTGAAAGAAGGGTCCCCTTGAGTATTCAGCAGAGTACTGATAGCACATACAAATGAGGGAACTATAGAGGTCAGGGAAAGAACCAACTAAGAGGATTCCAGGAAAAAGTTTCCTTAGAGTACTTGATGTACATTACTTGAAGATATATGGTGATAAATTAAATGTGCATACTATAAACTTAAGTAGCCACTAAAATAACAATTATAACTAAAAAGCAAACAAAGGAGATAAACAAAGAACAGAGAAGACAAAAGAATCTGAACTTGGATCAAACACATTTAAATAAGATCAAGAAATGAAACCATGTCAAGCAACTCAGTTATACTGTGAATAAAAGTAGTGCTATTTAGCAATAATTTGCCTTCACAGCAAATAAGAGAAAAACTGAAGAACAGATGTTGACAACATCAGTAATATCTTCAGCAGTAACAAAGGAAAAGTTCAAAACTCACATTATAAGTTAACTGAAGATTATATTTCTTAACAAAACTCACTATATTCTTAAATGTATATATAGCTCAATTATTGATTTCCTCTTCCATAAAACAGAGGCCAGAGAAGGGAGAGTGATAAAGAGAGGAAGATGAAAAGAGAAAGACAGGGAGGAAGGAGGAAAAAAAAAAAAAGAGGAGAAAGAGATCAATTGATTCCAGACTGGAGGATTTAATATAAACATATGCCTATCTCTAAGATTCATCATAGGGTAAATATATTAGACATAATCATATAAAATGCCCCATATTACTAAGATGACAGATGCTATTTTTTAATAAAATAAAGAACTTAAAAATCATTTAAAAATCTTCATTGGAATCTAGTATGTATGAGTGATCAGAATAATTAAGATGTGTTATTAAAGTATACAAGTTATATAGATACTGAAATCTGTTACATTGGGGGTTTGCAGCAAAAGTGACTATTAATTACCTTTATCAGTTAAAGACATTACCCTTTAAGATCAAGAGGCTTTACATCCATTCATTCTCCAAGTAAAAATAGTGGTAATAGCCTAATTAACCTTTATCCCTTTGAAGTTCATCCTTGGAGACAGCATCAGCACAGGCATCAAAGTACTTCTGTAGAGTATCAACTTGTCTACATAGGATATCTCTAAAGGTTTCCATTTCAGCCAATTTCTCACGTAAACTGTGGCCTTTCTGCAAAACACAAAAAAGGGGGTGGAGGATGTAATCTAAATGAACAAAACTGTAATTTATTTAGTCCTATTGTGTTTCATCACTTTTTAAGGTCTATATCTTACTAACGAGGGCCATCAGGTAGGGAGAGCTGTCAAGCTCAATGTAATACTCCTAGGAATTAACTTGAAACTGATTAACAGTGACCAGATAGTGATAAGCCTGAAGGAAATAAGGGACAAATAAGCCTGACAATTTGCTCATGTAAAATTTAATATTTTCAAATGATTGACATTGTGAGAAAAAAATTGTCAAAGTTTTCTATATACACAATGGAATACTATGCTGCTGTAAAAAAGAAGGAATTCTTACCATTTGCAACAGCATGGACGGAACTGGAGAGCATTATGCTAAGTGAAATAAGCCAGTCAATGAAAGAAAAATACCACATGATCTCACTCATTTATGGATAATAAAGACCATTATAAACTGATGAACAAAAATAGATACAGAGGCAGAGCAGCATTGAACAGACTGTCAAACTACAGCGAGAAGGCTGAGGAGGGTTGGGGGGCGGGAAGGGGGGGGTAAGAGATCAACCGAAGGACTTGCATGCATGCATATAAGCATAACCAATGGACATAAGACACTGGGGGGTAGGGGAGGCCGGGGGAATGTCAAGGGGGGTGGGAAAAGGAGAAGACAGATGTAATACTCTTTGTAATACTTTAAGCAATAAAAATAAAAATTAAAAATAAAAAAATAATTGTCAAAGACTTTAAAATGGGAAAAAATATTATTGGATATCCTTTCAAAGGAATGGTGTGTGCTATTGATGGGACCTTTAGCATTTATGGAATGTCTAATCATATAGAAGTCTTTGATTTCATTACATTTGGCCTATTTTATAATTCTTTAAGTAGTAGAAAAATAAGAGTAATGTAAATGATTTTTGGCCAGATATGCAAATGAACCTTGATTAGTGGAGATACACTAGTTTCTAATCTGTGGATACCGAACAGTTTTGCATATATTAGCAAAATCATTTTGGCATTCTTCAGATTCTCCTTTGAACCAATTTATTTTTACGTCTTATCTATTAACAAAAAAATCTTTGATGTGTTCATTTTCTATTTGTCATAAATGTTAACCCTTAAAAAAATTATTCTGAACTTAAATTACATTGTAGAGAAGTTCTTTTGAAAAAACTATTAAATAAGTTCTGTTCACAACATTCAGTAATAAATTCAATTTATGAGGCCTTAACTTAAAGCATTCACAACCACAAACCTTGAATGAAGAGGTGGATGTTGCAGAATAGCCACTTGCTCCAGACACCAGTGACACCATTGAACCATGTCGACGCAAGCTGGATTCAGATCCATAACCAGATTCAGTCTAAAAAAGAAAGTAAACTACATGAAAAAAAAAAATTAAATAAAAATTACTTAATCATCACAAGAAAAAAATTGTAACTGTGTGAGATGATAGATGTTTAACTTATTGTAATCCCTTCACTATATATGTGTGCTTGTTGTACACCTTGCTGACATATATAAATGCTACAGTCATTATGTTGTACACCTTAAATTGCTACTAGGTTATGTTAATTGTACCTCAATAAAACTGGAAAAATACTTAAGAATAAACAAGAGTTTTCCTATAAATTAATAAGGCTGTTATAAAAATTGTATAGGATAAAGGCAAAAAGTAAAAATAATAGGAGATGGGCTAAGATGTCTTGAACCACTTTTAATTCTTTTTGTAGCACAAAGAAATAAACAGTAAATTTTTAAAAAAGTAAAAATGAGGAAAACGTCCAGTACTATTTCTTTATAGTACTATCACTTATCACTGTCTCAATGAAACCTCTCCTATTACATTAGGCAGTTTCTCTGTATTCTCAACCACTGTTCACATAACACAATTATAGCATTTACCGTATACTTGGTTATATTTAGATTTTATAATTACTATGGAACTTGGTTCTTCTGGAAGAAGACTGTGTCTTTTTCATTTTTTGTAGCCACCTCAATAGTTCATATCACACAAAAAATTCTCAACTTTACCAGTCTGTTATGAAAAATAATTGAACTCTAGGATATTGGGGTATACTTAGACTTAGCACTGTAATAATCCTATATAATAAAAGCTGAATATGCAAATTGTCCCCTTGGGTGGGAGTTCGACTGACCGCGAGTTCGACCGCTCGCTATGATGTGCACTGACCACCAGGGGAGGGCTCGAAACATGGTGGGCATTGACGATGACACTGGCAGCGGGCGGCACTAGAGGTGCTGCCAGCCCTGATGGGTCTGATGAGAGCGGGACCACAGTGGGATGGTGGAGCAGGTGAGCGGGCAGTGCCAGGCCAAGGCGGGTGTGAGTGGGGGCCCAATTGCCCTGCAGACGGCAACCAATGGCAGCAGCAGGGGGCAGGGCCGCCACCCGGCTCCCAGGCGTTGAGGGAGCTGGGCGGGGGGCCTGGCCCTGATAGATCGCCCCATAGACAGTGACCAGTGGCGGTGGCGGGGTTGGGGCCAGGCCAACACAGAGTGGAGGCCCCGATCGGCAGGGGATGGGATGAGCGGGCGGCGCCAGGCCAAGGCTGGGTGCCAGGCGTGGCTGTGAGAGCAAGCTAGGGTCTGATCTCCACAGACCACCCCAAGGGACCCTACCCGTGCACGAATTTCGTACACCGGGACTCTAGTACTTTTATATAATTCTGATGTAGTTGTACTCTTCAGAGCATCAACTTTATATTCACCCTCCCTATGACAAATGCAGTACCAATAAAATAGACAAAGGAATTGTACATTAAAAAAAAAACTTTCCAAGTACAGTTAACCCTCAATTTTTTGGACAATTTAATGGACATTGGATGTAACAGTCACATTCTGGTCTGTATGTCATACGTGAAAATTAACACCCTATTAATTTTAAAATTCTTTTAACCAAGATTTGCTTATAATTAACAGGTTATTTTTTTGTTATTAATTCACTGTCATTTTAAAAAATATATATATTTTTATTGATTTCAGAGAGGAAGGGAGAGGGAGAGAGAGAACAGAAACATCAATGATGAGAAAGAAGCACTGGTTGGCTGCCTCCTGCACGCCCCACACGGAGGATGGAGCCAGCAACCTGGGCATGTGCCCTGACCAGGAATCAAACCGTGACCTCTTGGTTCATAGGTCAACTCTCAATCACTGAGCCACACCACCAGGCCTCACTGTCGTTTTTTAAAAAATAAATTTTATTAATTTCAGAGAGGAAGGGAGAGGGAGATAGAAACATCAATGATGAGAGAGAATCATTGATCGGCTGCCTACTACACGCCCCCCCGTCCCCCCCATCCCGCCCTGGGAATGGAACCAGCAACCCGGGCATGTGCCCTGACCAGGAATCAAACAGTGACCTACTGGTTCATAAGTCGACGCTCAACCACTGAGCCACTCCTGCCAAACTCACTGTCATTTTTAACAAATTTTAGAGAATAGACCATATGTTGGAAAAAACACTGTAGTAATTTTGCTGACATATATAAATATTACATATCTACAACTATAGTATATATATTTAAATCCAAGAGTCACTACTTGCAAACAATGTTCGGTCAATGATTAGCAGGTGATCACAGTGCATCGCACACAGTAATTGGTTCTGCTGTTGCATGGTGTAACTTTCTGCAGCAGTTTTAACTTGCGTGCCCGCCAAGTTCCTACGTGCCCTAAGCCACGGCCCAGCCATGTGGCATTTATTTACTCGAGTTGACTGATGATTGCACAAATGTACTAGACCTATTCAGTATAAATTTAAAATTATGGTATTACATATAGAAAACTTTTCTGTGAAATTAAACTTTTCATACATTTTAATTACACAAACATGTCTACATAAGCAAAAATAGGTAAACTAATTTGTCAATTTTTTATCATACACATTTGGAAAACCTCCTTTATTATATAATGGACTTTCGGCTTTAATGGACAGCCGCTCGCCTGAATTATTATATCGTGATTTTACTGTACTTGAAACATGTTCAAGTATTTTAGATTTCTGATTACTTCCTACTGCTATTTTTTAAAGTACTGTGCATGACGTTAGCCCTAGTCTCTAAATTTAAGAGGTAAAATAACATCTAATTATTCTTGGCATACACATAATAAAACTCAATCATCCCATTAAAATAGTAGTTGTTTAGATTACTTGATTTTCAAGATTAAGATTATGAATCATTAAAATTAAGTACAATATATTGTAGAAAATATTTCCATTGACATTTTACATCCTCTGTGCTCTCGTTCCTAAAAATCCATTACATTTCCTATATAGCTGTTGGCTTAGCCCTGACATTATTCTAACTCAGTGATGGCGAACCTATGACACGCGTGTCAGAGGTGACATGCGAACTCATTTTTTGGGTTGATTTTTCTTTGTTAAATGGCATTTAAATATACAAAATAAATATCAAAAATATAAGTCTTTGTTCTACTATGGTTGCAAATATCAAAAAATTTCTATATGTGACACGGCACCAGAGTTAAGTTAGGGTTTTTCAAAATGCTGACACGCCGAGCTCAAAAGGTTCGCCATCACTGTTCTAACTGGACAATGTTTTTCTAGTTACAGAATATCAAGCTTCTATACTGATTTAACTAATAAATAAAATTATATTATTTTTATGTAAATAATATTAACACTAGTTTATTACACTTTTCCAGTTCAGTATCACTTCATTAGTTAAAGTTTATATTCTAGGAAGGAGTGTTCTAACTGGACAATGTTTTTCTAGGTACAGAATATCAAGCTTCTATACTGATTTAACTAATAAATAAAATTATATTATTTTTATGTAAATAATATTAACACTAGTCCATGTGAAAAAAGCAGCCTCTTAAAATTCAAACTTTCAGCATATACAAGTCACCAAACACCAAACAAAGTGATAATGTCATACTTTTAATGATGCTTTTATATTTATAAAAGTTACTGCAATATCTTAACTCAGAATTTACTAAAAAGTTACATATTAAGACTAGATGGATTCAAACCTCTTCTCCAAGCCTTACATCACTATACACCACTCCACATCTCAAAGCAAAGCAATGTCTTAGTGATGAGGCCAAATAAATATTTTGGTACCAGGAAAACTATTAATGAAAGAATAAACCACTTTATTGTATGTGCATTATACCTCAAGAAAATTGTTTTGTTTTGTTTTTTAAAGGTAAATCTATTCTATGACAAAAGAAAGCTGGCCAGGGTGCAGTAGGGGCATTGCTACAAAGAGGTACAAAAAATTGGGGTGTGTGTGTAGGTTACAACTGTCAAAACTCAATTGTCCAATTAAAACAGATACATTTTAAGAATGTTGAATAGTATCTCAACAAAGTAGATTAAAAAAAATGGTAAGCTTGTTTCAATATAACAGAATCCACAAAAAGATCATCCTATCCTATCTAATAATAGAGAAACATGGTAATTAGCCATACCTCTGCTACCCTTCCCATTGGCTAATCAGTGAGATATGCAAATTAACTGCCAACCAAGATGGCGGTCGGCAGCCAGGCAGCTTGAAGCTAACAGGAGGCTTGCTTGCTTCAGTGACAGAGGAAGCCAATGTTCCCGCCTGCGACTGCCGGCCTCTGAGCTTGCAGTTTGAAACATTGTTACAAATATAGAAGCTAAACAAAACCCCAGAAACCTGCTTTCAGTCAGCCGGGATCTCAGAGCTGGAGTTGAAACAGTGTTTCGATTGTAGAACCCAAACAAACCAGATACCTGCTTTCAACAGCCGAGGCCTCAGAGCTGGAGCCAAGCCTCAGAGCTAAAGCTGGCCCAGAATTAAAAAAAAAAAGAAAAAAAGGACAGGTTGGGAGCTTCAGTCACCAGCCAGCCTGAAAACAGCCCTCAGCCCCTCACCCAGACTGGCCAGGCACCCCAGTGGGGACCCCCACCCTGAAGGGGGTGTGACCAGATGCAAACAGCCATCATCCCCTCATCCAGGCTGGCCAGGCACGCCAGTGGGGACCCCCACCCTGATCCAGGACACCCTTCAGGGCAAACCAGCCAGCCCCCACCTGTGCACCAGGCCTCTTTCCTATATAGTAAAAGGGTAATATGCCTCCCAGCACCGGGATCAGTGGAGCTGCGAGGCCTCCCGGCACCGGGATCAATGTGACAGGGGGCAGCGACCAAACCCCCTGATCGCCCTGCGGCTGTGTGTGTGACAGGGGGCGGGGCCACAGCCTCCCTATCCGCCCTGCTCTGTTCGTGACAGGGGAAGGCGCCCCAACCCCCTGATCAGCCCTGCTCTGTGCCTGATATGGGGGAGCTCCCCAACCCCGATTGCCCTGCGGCTCTGTGTGTGACAGGGTGCGGTGCCCTAACCCCCT